TCTTTGTTTTTTTCTGCTCAGTGTTATTTCAGGGTTTTGATCTCTCAACTGAGAGCCTTTTTTTGTCCTGTCTATTTACAGCCACTTCAGAAAAAAACTGACTGTGTTTACATAAATATTTCCACTAAGACAAGCATTTGATCTCTCACGCAAACATTCTTCACAGAGTACAAGCACAAAGTGTTTGGTGTGTGTGTGTGTGTGTGTGTGTGTGTGTGTGTGTGTGTGTGCCATGTTTTCCCGCTTTTTATTTTCTGATGATGGAATGATGTTTTCATGAGAGCGTGCAGCTCTTTTCAGCAGCATACCTCCCGGAGTTTCATATCCAAGCTCAATTTATTCCCAAATGCACTTTCATTTTGTTCATTATTGCTAATTCATGTCAATATCTACCCACACACTCACCTAAACAATGTGAAATTTTCTGGATAACAGCTTCTTGGCCATTGTCAGCTTGTGTTCAGCTGTGTTAAGTTTTCATGACAGCACTGACAGGTTGTGGCTGTTTGTGTATAATAAATGCTTGAGTAAATATCTTTATTAAAAGTATCTTTACGGTAAAATGTAACTGTAGAAAGTTACAAGAAGATCCTCCATGGAAGATCCTCCATGGACCCATGGTTTGTCTGTATGTGAATTCAGAGCCAATGAGCAACTGACTTTCATAATAATAAAAAACTGCGTTAATGCGCGATAAAATAGTTGTCGGCGTTAATCAATTAATGCGATAACACGTTAACTTGCCCAGCCCTAATATATATATATGAGTGTGTCTGTGTGTGTGTGCGTGTTATCGCATTAATTGATTAACGCCGACAACTATTTTATCGCGCATTAACGCAGTTTTTTATTATTATGAAAGTCAGTTGCTCATTGGCTCTGAATTCACATACAGACAAACCATGGGTCACAGGAGGGTGGGATGTTGATCAGTACTGGCTTGGGATGAGTGTCATCACACGTCTCAAACAATGAGAGCATTTGGGGTGGGCCTAAGACTGCAGCAGCGCTCACATGAATGCTTCCATTAAAATTATTTAGGCTAAGCATCAACATTCACAAACCACTGTCCACTGTTATTTTTAACAGAAAAGAATGCAACACGCTCGTAATCATGACTTCATAAGTGGGAAATAGGAAGTTTCCGATAGCACGTTTTGGGGTGGGCCTAAGACTGCAGCAGCGCTCACATGAATGCTTCCATTAAAATTATTTAGGCTAAGCATCAACATTCACAAACCACTGTCCACTGTTATTTTTAACAGAAAAGAATGCAACATGCTCGTAATCACGACTTTTCCGATAGGAAGTTTCCGATAGCATGTGAAGACAGCAGAGAAGCCTCTTGCTCAGCACAGTGGAGTGCATCGTTTTGTTAACTTTGTGGTTTATTATTTTGAGTCGTTTGGGACGCAGTAACACATGGTGCTCTCACAATATATTGCTTTACAAACCTATCACTCTTGCTGCTCAGAAATGTTCACGCAATCATGCAGCACGTATCATTACTTAGCGCTCACACGCACTGATCTATACACAACTGAACCGCACTCTGGCCCACCTCTTCGAACCGAGCCAGGGACGGCTAAACAAACTAAGATTGCCTAGTGTGATACACCCTTATTCTCCCGCATCCCACACACGAGTCTCTACCCGCCCGCACTCGCCCATCAAGTGTTGTCCCACGCCGCACTCTGCTGCGTTAGGTCCCTCGATAGTGCTGGTCTCTAAGGTGCCTGTTATAATGTTATGATGGAGGCTCTGGACTCTGAGCATGACTTGTCCAAAATATGTTTTTGTTATTATGTATATATAAATACATACACATGCATGTATATGTGTGTAAATGTGTTATTTTTCTATATTAAATATATTTATTTATAATATAAATTCTATGAATATAAATATAGACATGTAAATACATGAAAACATTTTCAAAATATAAACTGTATGTGTGTGTATTTATATATACATAATAAATATACACAGCACACATACATATATAATGTGAACAAAAACTTTTATTTTGGATGCGATTACTCGTTTGACAGCACTAAAATAAATGCATAATAAACCTAACAAAAAAGAGAAATGTTATGGTTAAAAATATTTCAAGATATATTATTATTCCTGCACACTTGCTTAAGTGCTAGCTTACCAAACTTTTTCTTCTCAAATATCTTTTCCTGAAGCTGGTTTCGATATTTTACTGTAAAAATAATTTTTTTCTTTTTTTTTTTAGATCATCCTTGGGATTTATTAAGTGCTTCTGCTGAGATCAAAATTCACCTTTTACTTATATATATATATAAAAAAATCACAAACATACATACATTTGCGTAGAGATACATTTTTTTCTCTGCCTGAGACTCTCATCCTGTCGCCAGTGGGTGCTGTCACTCATGTCTCTGGAAATCACCAGTTCTCATTGAAAATATATGACTTGAGGTCACAGCAGATCGCTATCATTGTAAGCGTTATTTTATATAAGACTTCTTTATAGAAGCTCTGTTTTATTAGGGCATTAAATGGTACAGGTCTTCATTGTTAATATCTGTATAAATCCATTGAAGATTCATTAATATTGCAGGTTGCTTGGCATTGGTTTGACACTAACAGACTGAATGAGAGCACACTGCTGTTAGATTTTTTTTGTCGAATAAATGGATGCAGTATAGCTTCTCCTGTGAGTAGGAGATGTGAGATTTCTTGATCGTTACCGTTTTTAAGCATTTTGCGGTCAGCGTGCACATGGCAGACTACCATCACATTGCTTTTCTGATGTCTCGTAAACCAAACATTCTTCTCCAAAAACATCTCATCTTTAAGCCAGCACCGAAAATAAATATTTTCTTATCAGCCACTTTAGAAGAAAGGCCTTTCTTTAAGCATTAATGTGCCAGCGTTAGCTCGTGAGTCATCGACTTTCTCCTGGTTTCTCACTTTTCTTCTTCCTCCCACCCCTTGCTTTCCTCGCTTTTTCTCCATGTCTCCCGCTGTGACTCTACTCACTTCTGAACCTCCATTACACACTGAGTGATGGCTGCCACTGTGCAAGTGGCGCAGGTCTCTGCTGTGATAGTTACTCTTTCTGCGACACTGTTTGGACCAAGAAGCATCCATGCAATTATCCAGAAAATTACCATACACTTTTAATGTCATTGTCATGGTCGGCAAAGGCACAGAAGAGTGGTGACATACTGTAAAATGTGTGAAATGCTCACAGCCATGGCCAATTTCCTTCAGCTGGGGATGCAGATTTCAGTTTTTATGCACACATACCCATTATCAAAAAACGTTTTTGGACACTTATGCCATACTTGAAAATGTATTGTCTTTTAATATTAGTACATTTATTTTTAAAGACTTATAGCACATTTAACAAAGGCCAGGTGGTAAGAGCTGTGCCCTCACTTGCTCTGCTTGCTTGGGGAAAAAAAATATATACACACACACATATATAAAGAATTTTTTGGAGCTCCAAAAATGTATGAAAATATATATATACTATACTATATACGATGCTATATACTGTTTTGGTAACGTGCTGTAATTTTTTAAAGATTTCATTTAGTTTCTTTTCATTAGTTTTGTTTATTTTTATATTTTATATTTTTAATTAAAATTATTATTGTTCGTGTTTGTTTGAACGCACATTTTTATATAAACAGTTAGTAATGATATTGATTTAAGTTTCACAACCCTAACTACACAAAACAGTTCTTGCTTTGTTTCACGTTGGACATGACATAATTTGGCATTCAGTAACTATTTGACTCTTCAGAGTCTGTTGATTCAAATACATTTTTGTGAGAATATTTTATGTTGAGGTCATGTTTGTTTTTGAGTGTAGTTATTGTAAATATTGCCTAATAAAGACATTGTATTGTCTTTTGATGTCTTGTCTTAGCATTATTTCAGGGAGCACAGGCTTTTTATGTCAATTCATATGCAAACTCAAATCTCTGGCGAAATGTAATTTCTTGTCATGGCTTAGACTGCAGATTCAGCAGTGGCGTGATGTCTTGAAAAGGCCACAGCTTGCCTTTCTGATCACTCAGCTGTGTGTGTGTGTATGTCAATATTTTGCTCACATTCAATAAAGGACCACTCATCCCTTACTTTTCACTACACTGCTCTCCGTCTTGCAGTTCTGAAAGCTCAGCCGGTCATCTCTCCTCTCTACAATGAAGCGTGAGGCTGTATTGTCCTAGCTGGAGGTCTCAAGGTTCATTTGAGCTGAGTTCTGAGCTGTAGGTGGCCATTTTTCTCCCTGTCAGCTTGAGCTGGAGGCTTTTAGCATTTACGCCAGAAGAAAAGAGAGCAGATATTACTGTGCACTTTCAGCCTCATAAAATGAGACAGGTTTGTGTGACCTGAATTAGACAGTGACCATATGACTCCATTGCCATTGAGAGGTGAAGCACTTTCTAATTTGCTGTCTGTAATCTTTCTGAATGGGCATACTCTCAGATTCAGTATATTACAATGTCTTGACTCTGAACTGTTTTTATATTTGGTTCTAAAGATCATCATCTTCAATAACAGCTTTGGCACCATAGTGCAATACATCTATTGTAGATGTCAATATTATGCATAAATGCATTCTGCATTCTGAATTTTGTTTTTTGGTTCTTTTCTACAGCTGTCGGACCAGCAACAGGAAGAGCTTGATAGTGACATCCAGCACCTCTCCCACTCTGCCTCGCCCCCATTCACCTCTGCACGGACACCCAGGTAAAATATATACCTCTTCCAAAGAATAGACTGAAACATTATGCTAGTTTGCAAGATACTTTGATTGATGAGCTTAGTGGAAATCACATAAGATGAAGGTCAGAGTTGATTACATATTGATTAGAAATAGGGATGTTAATTTTAACCGGTTAACTAAAAATAATTTTGACCGATTAATACAATCAGTTAAACGGTTTAAAAAGTCATTTAATTATTTATCTTTTCAGTAATTTATCAAAATATTGTAAAAGGTTTGCTGCATGGTTAAAATACATTACGCGTATTTAAAAAAAGGTGTTTTTAGGGGGGAAAAACATAAATTGCATAAATCGCATTTTATTATTTCATTCCGAAATAGCCTAGGCATGATGCCGACACGAAATGTTTACAAACATTATAATAAACACTGTTAACAAATCCTTTCAATTAACAGTAGCCTATTTAGAAAAGAACAAGAATTAAAAATATAAGAAGCTATAGCAATATAAAAGACAAGCCAACACGAATTCATTTAGGCTAAAACGAAACTGAAACCAACGTTGGGTCTCTCATTCGACACAAAATCAAATGTTTCCATATTCGCGATGTATTTGAATGGCAAATTATTATTTATTATGTAGTTCACTCGCGTTCCAATATCCACGTAAAACAAAATGTTTTGCATAACATCACGGCAGTACTGTGATAACACTTAACGGCACAGATTTTACTAAAAACATTTTTTACTACATAGTTTTTTTTCCACATGTTTGACTGACTGTATTTTATTATGATAATGAACAGGCTGCATTGTCAAGGTGGCAATGCTTAACTGTGTGCGCGCATGCGGCGCCGGCGCAATCACTTGAATTTTTTCCTTCTAACAGTGGAAGAAACTACTCCTTTTAGTCCTAAAGATAATCGGAATTGTAAAAGGTTTGCCTTTACCTTTTTTCTGCCATCTGTTTCCTTTCGCGCAGCAAAAAAATAAACCGAAACTCCGCGTACTAGGCTTGTTGCACAGTTTTTCTTTCATTGTCTTAATTTATTATTTAAGTGTATATGTGTATATATTTATTTGTTATATATATATATATATATATATATATATATATATATATATATATATATA